GTCATCAGATCACTATATGTAACAAGCGTCTAGCCCCCAGCTGGCAACTTTTATTCCTAGAGGCCTGTCAGGTGTCGCCATGCGAGTGTATGCGCACTTTGACGTCTTCCTTCTTCCAGCTGACCGGTTCCAGCGCGCTGCTTTTGTTTATGTTGTGAATTTTGTGGTGAATCGAACTGTTTATTGTTTACTGTTTTTTGCTCGGTTTTTTGCAATGGATAACAACAAAATTGATAAATTGTGTTGTAAATATTGTAAAAATGAATTTGGTTATTTATATAATTTGAGGAAACACGTGAAAAAATTTCATTCTGAAGATGAGGACTATTTAAAAACTATTTCAAAACATTCAAATAGTGAATTTAAATTTTCATGCAAGATGTGTCATAAAAATTTCAATCACAAAAAAAACCTGAAGTTTCATACTAAAACTCATGAACGACAACAAGATCAAGTGCCTGAAATCTCAACTGGAATCACAACAGAGTTCAATGAATCCATTACTGGAGCTATTACCACTGCAAAATGTGCAATGTGCCAAACTGAGTGTATAAATAATAAGGCTGTTTTACTGCACTACGCAGAAGCTCATGATATTGTGCTGAAAAAAAAATCATTTATCCTTCCAAAACTTGATGAATTTTATGCATGGAAAAGGAAATTTGAAAGTGACACTAATAGCAGATTTTTTAAAGTATCTTCTAACTCATGTAAAACCTTCGATTTACGTGCCATCGTTCAGGTCAATATGTTCCAGAAGGCAAAGGTAGTAATGTTTGTATTTTATTGTTTTATAATTTTTATACTTGGGAATATTTTGATTTTAGGTGTTCGACATTTGAAAACCCAGGGCAGTAATAAGATTAATGCTGTCTGTCCAGCAACTATTACCTTGAAACACAGATTCAGTGATGGCATATGTGAAATACAAGTACAAGAAACACATGTAGGTCATCAAAATGAAATTGGTCATCTGAATTTAACTAAAATTGAACGCGAAAGTCTGGCTGGAAAAATTGCTTTGAAAATTCCGTTTGATGAAATTTTGGATGACATACGAAATTCTATATGCGACAACACTCTAAAACGACTTCATCTCCTAACAAAGAAGGATCTCTTCAATATAGAATTCTGTTACAACTTGAGTTCTACATCAATGAGACACTCGAATGATGTATCAGTTAATTCCTGGATCCATGAAATGCAAGAAAAAGGCCAGGCAATTCTAATCTACAAACCTCAAGGCAGTCTAAATAATGAATATCCCATTTTGAAAGAAAGTGATTTTGTCTTATGACGGATTATTATGACAGATGCCCAAAGTGAAATTTTAAAAAAATACAGTTCAGATTGTGTTTGTATCGATGGAACACACGGAACAAATAGCTATAATTTTGAGCTCACCACACTGTTAGTAGTTGACGATATGCGAGAAGGATTTCCTTGTGGATTTCTCATATCAAATCGTTCAGACAAAGATGTTTTTATAATATTTTCAATTGTATCAAAACACGCATTGGTGGCGGTATTGTCTGTAATGTTTTTATGTCAGATATGGCTGAAGCATTCTTCAATGCCTGGATAGAAGTAATGCCTCCTCCAAAGCAAAGGTAAAAAACCTAAGTATTTTTTTTATTATGTAATTTTTTCACTTTATAATTAAATTGTTTCAAACTGTTTTGTAGCTGGCATGTTGATCGCGCATGGCGAAATAACTTATCAAAAATCAAGACTACTGAAAAACGGGTATTAACAAGTGTTCATATTTCATACATTTTATGATTTAATTACTAAGTACTCATTGTTGTAGGTTATTGTATATAAAACTTTGAGGGCTATTCTGCAAGAAACAGACATACACGCATTTGACAAAATGTTGATTGAATTCAATGGACTCGTAAATGCAGATAATGATACACAAGAAATTGGCATATATTTTAATAAGCAATACCCACATAACAAAATTGCATCCTTAGAATGTATTAAGTATGTTCTTTTTTTAGGAGGAATGTGCCTAGAATGTTCGCCAAAACCATTGCGAATGTCCTGAGAATGTTCTGAGAAAAGATTGTAGAAATACTGTTTGCAATACCCAAGAACTTCCTGGGAAATCCATTAGGATATTCCTAGAATATACCTATGAGATTCTCAGTACGTCCTTAAAAGAATATTCCTGTTTGATTCTAAAAATATGCTCGAAACGTACCTATATTCTCACATTCAAAGAATATTTCTATGACATTATAGTTATGTTCTTAAAAGAATATTATACCAATATGCTTGAAATATTCTTAGAATATATCTACATATATCATTCTCAATATGCATCCTAGACATAACATTCTTGTTTGATTCTAAGGATATACTTGGAATGTTTATTTTCGCTTCCAAATAATGCTCGTTTCAGCCCTTTTATATTAAAGGCAGTGAAAGAGTTGTTGGAAAACTTCTCTAGAAAACACGAGTATTTAACCAAAGCTCTGGTTTCGAGCTTGTTATGCTCTCGTCGAAGCACGCCAACTGAGAGGAACAGGTTCCAAGGTGATTCAAATGCGAGGCAAGATGTAGATCATTAATAGCGCGTCGCTCCCTCTCTTGGAAGTCATACAAAGCAAACGAAAAATAATATACCTATAATATTCTTAGTAGGTTCTAAATAGAGCATTATTGTTTAACTGTACAATTAAGGTTTTTGAGTAGGTACTTTAGATAATTAGGTGAACAATATGAAAATATTCTTATCATGGTTACCTACCTACATAAACTTCTCAGCACAACTTGGTAGGTATATTCTTAATACTTGCTAAAGATATTAGCTAAAAGAACATTTTTTAGGGTACATTATAATAATGTTCGTATGAGAATATTCAAATAATGTTATATAAAGTAGGTTCTTAGCACAATCTTTCAGGTAGGTGCATAGAAGCAACATTCCTAGTACATAAATAGAACGTTCTAAAATGAATATTTCAATCGAAACAATCTTAGAATATTCATTGAACATTCCTAAAAGAACATTCCAAAAAGTACTTTGAGGGAATATTCTGAGAATATGAATGTTCTTTCACTGTTATGTGGGATGTCCTGAGACTGTTCTGAGAAAAGATTGTAGAAATACTGTTTGCAATACCCAAGAACTTCCTGGGAAATCCATTAGGATATTCCTAGAATAGAGAATATACCTATGAGATTCTCAGTACATCCTGAAAAGAATATTCCTGTTTGATTCTAAAAATATGCTCGAAATGTATATTCTTATATTCAAAGAATGTTTCTATGACATTATAGTTATGTTCTCAAAAGAATATTATACCAATGAAATATTCTTAGAATATATCTACATACAGGGTGTCCCACGGTGGATGGCGTATTAGACGTTAATGGAGAACTAAAAAGCGGATCATTTTGAAAATTTGGCAACCGGGATAAACGACCATAATCTACACTTTAAAAATATTTTGTTTATGCGGTGTTGCCGCTCCTACTCTAAACCAGTGGCAACATCGCTATTTTAAATAGAACACCCTGTATGTGATTGCATATTTGGATTCTGCGTAAAATTCTGAACAGATATCATGTGATATATCCTATACCTAAGTTCGACTGTTTTGGAAATATTGACAGTTGAAAATTGACTTTTTGCAACTTTGACAGGCTGTAAAACCTGAACGGGTAGTTTTAGAGGAAAACCGATTTTACATTCCTATCTTAGATTTTTATAAACTATCATTTGACACCAACTTTGAATTTAATCCATGATTAAAAATTCCAATTAAATTTAATCTCCGGTTGGGAATGTGAAATCGGTTTTCCTCTAAAATTAACCGTTCAGGTTTTACAGCCTGTCAAAGTTACAAAAAGTCAATTTTCAACTGTCAATACTTCCAAAATAGTTGAACTTAGGTATAACGCATGAAATCTGCTCAGAATTTTACGTAGAATCCAAATATGCAATCACATACAGGGTGTTCCATTAAAAATAGCGATGTTGCCACTGGTTTAGAGTAGAAGCGGCAACACCGCATGGTCAAAAAGATTTTTAAAGTGTAGATCATGGTCGTCTATCCCGGTTGCCAAATTTTCAAAATGATCCGCTTTTTAGTTCTCCATAAACGTCTAATACGCCATCCACCGTGGGACACCCTGTATATCATTCTCAATATGCACCCTAGACATAACATTCTTGTTTGATTCTAGGGACATACTTGGAATGTTAATTTTCGCATCCAACCAAATCATGCTACTTTCAGTCCTATATTGAAGGCAGTGAAAGAGTTGTTGGAAAATTTCTCTGGAAAACACAAGTGTTTAACCAAAGCTGCGGTTTCGAGCTTGTTATGCTCTCGTCGCGGTAAGCACGCCAACTGAGAGAAACAGGTTCCAAGGTGATTCAAACGTGAGGCAAGATGTAGATCTTTAATAGCGCGTGGCTCCCTCTCTTGGAAGTCCTACAAAGCAAAAGGAAAAGAATATACCTATAATATTATTAGTAGGTTCTAGATAGAGCATTATTGTTTAATTGTTCAATTAAGTTTTTGATTAGGTACTTTAGATAATAAGGTGAACAATATGGAAATATTCTTATTATGGGTACCTACCTACATAAACTTCTCGGCACAACTTGGTAGGTATATTCTTAATACTTGATAGAGACATTAGCCGAAACAACATTTTTTAGGGTACATTATAATAATGTTCGTATGAGAATATTCAAATAATGTTATATAAAGTAGGTTCTTAGCACAATCTTTCAGGTCGGTGCATAGACGCAACATTCTTAGTACTTAAATAGAATGTTCAAAAATGAATATATCAATCGAAACAATCTTAGAATATTCATTGAACATTCCTAAAAGAACATTCCAAAAAGCACTTTGAGGGAATATTCTGAGAATATGAATGGTTTTTCACTGTTATGTGGGTACATGCCTAACATGTCATGTTGGGCATATTGTTTCAGGATAGGAGCAGGGGTAAACACTAACATGCATTTAGAGAGAATGCACCGTACCCTTAAATATACTTATTTGAAAGGCAAACGTGTTAAAAGACTAGATAAAGGTATTAATGCCATAATGCGTTTGGTGCGAGATAAATGCATAGAAAGATTGATAACAATAAAACAGGGGAAACTTTCTTCTAAATTGTCAGCACTTCGATCTAGACATAAAACTAGCTTGACGTTAGACTTAAATTCAGTTATGCCATGTGATGATGGTTGGAATGTGGCATCTGGAAAGAAGACTGATTTATATTTAATTCGCCAAGTGAAAGATCATTGCGAGTGCCATTTGATATGTATTGAATGTAACACTTGTTTGCATAGATTCATCTGCTCTTGCCATGATTCGTCAATTAAATATAATATGTGCAAACACATTCATCTCTTGTGTAAATCATTGGCAAGTAGAGTATGTACGTCCCCAATACCAGGTATTTAATGTTTTACATATATTTTTATACCTTGTTCATATTTCAATTGAAAAGACTCGTTCACCGTACATCTACATTATTCTACAAGTAAACCTTATTTTTTTGTATTCTTAGGTGTGGATAATGCCTAATATTTTATCAACACATTATTTTCACCTATTTGTGTTATTTATGGGTTACTTATACGTTCGAACCAATATTTTACCTTTGAAATTTGAAATACAGGGTGTTAATAAATAGTGGGATCAAACTTCTAGGATAAATAGTACTCATTAAACTAATAAAAAAGTTAATAGAAACATAGGTCCGCAAATGGTTAGTTTTCGAGATACAGGGTGTCAAAGCTTGAAAAAAATCGGTTTTACAAAATCCGTTTTCCGAATTTCTTTAAACTTTGCAGATTTGTTTGTTATAACAAAAGGTATCTTTTGATTCAATTAGATTTACCGTAATTATTCCAGTGGCTCCCCAGAGGGCAACTATGTTGGTAAAATTAGGAAAAAAATAGCACGTCACTATTTTTTTATAACTTTGATATTTTTATTTTCAGATTAAGCAAGTCATATTACAGTCAAATGATACCTACCTTTTTTTATCATGTACACACGTGCCAAATTTGAAAAATAAAATGTAAAAGGGATTTTTGAGCTAAAAACCCAACTTTGACACTTTGTATCTCGAAAACTAAGCATTCGCGGACCTATGTTTCTATTCACTTTTTTCTTATTTCAGTGAGTACTATTTATCCTAGAAGTCTGATCCCACTCTTTATTAACACCCTGTATACATAATTAGATTTTTTTCTGACAGATCTATTTGTAGGCTGAAGGAAGCAAATGATGAGAACGGCAATTTGGTCATTGTTGAAAACAGTCAGGACGAATTCCAACACATTTTAACAGATCTAAGTTCAAAATCATCCACATCGACCACTTTGATAATGGAAAAAACAAAAATGAAGGAAGCATTGCAAGAACTGATCAACAAAGTCGATTTAATGACCTCACAATCCGAACTTGATGTAGTCAAAAAGTGCATTGCTCCTATTGCTCCTACTCTGGCTTCTTTGAATGCAGCTAATAGCATTCAACATGTTTCCAAAATTCCCCATAACAAAAAGATTGACAAGCAGAGGAAATTTGTTTCCACAAAAAAGAAAAACTATTCAAAACGGAATCCCTACAAAAAGCCAACTCGCGAAGAAACTGAAAATATTGCAGCGGCCCTATTACTTAATTAATACCTATTTTTTTTTGTAAAACTGCCTCGCTCAAAATGGAGCTTTTAGTTTCTCACACGCTAGGCAATGTTGATGACTTGTTTCCTAAAAAATAAAAATTACAAAGGTATTTGTTTGTTTTATTTTGCAGTTCTAGAGAAAGCATTGTAAAAAACTTATTAGAAAAACTTTTTTCCACACTATACTTGTGGACCTAGCCGTAGACAACAAACTGTCTCGGACATGCGAAAAGAGTCGTTTTCAAATTTTGTTGTTTAAATAACTATTTTATTTCTTAATAATTGTTTTTATCTAACTCTATTTTAGAAATTTTAGAGTAATCTTTCTCTTACTTATAAATGCTTTCCTAATGGTGTTTGTGAGAGTAACCTAAATAAATAAATAATAAAAATAAACTTATTGTCTTGTCTTGTCTAAGAATTCCCATCCGCATACGAAACTTGATTCTTTTTTCACATTAGTGTGTCAAAAACAAATTTTTCTATGGAAGGGGGTGGGAGTAGGGGTGGGAGAATATTTTTTTCTTATTGTTGTATTATCATTGGACCACTATGTGTATACCAAATTTTATCCAAATCGGATAACGGGAAGTGTGTCAAAAACACATTTTTCTATAGGAGGGGGTGGGGGTAGGGGTGGGAGGATATTTTTTTCTTAATGTTATATTGTCATGGGACCCCTATGTGGGTACCAAATTTCATCCAAATCGGATAATGGGAAGTGTGTCAAAAACGCTTCACAAGATTTGATAGTTAGATAGTTAGAACATGTGAAGCTAAATAAAAGCTTGTAAAAAGGTGGTGCCCAATAGAGCGTTTATCGTATGGGGAAAGACGATATCTCCAACCACAGACATTAAATACCTGGGAGCATGGCTAGATAACAAGCTAAAGTTTGCAAGCCACCTTAAGAAAACTGCGGTCAAACCAGCAAACGCCATGAAAGCCCTGGCTAAATTATTGCCCAATGTGGGAGGCCCGTACCTAACCAAAAGAAAGCTACTTTGCTCTGTAGCCAGGTCGATTATGCGGCCCCAGTTTGGGGTGGAGCCATGAAATATAGGAAGTACCAGAGCTGGCTGGAAAACATCCAGAGAAATGCTGCACTGACAATTGCTGCGCCTACCGCACAACTTCATCAGAAGCAGTACTGGTCAATTCAAAAACACCACCGATAGACTTCCTAGTGAAACAGGTCGCCGAAATATCGGGCGCAGGGGAAGAGAAAGAGGCATTACGAGCAGATCTTAGGATCAACCTAGTACAAGAACGGCAAAATAGATGGGAAAACCAAAAGAAGGGCAGGTGGACCTATACACTAATTCTAAGTTTGACCACATGGGTAAATAGGCCGCATGGCGAAACGGACTCCTTCTTGATGCAGATGTTGACGGGTCACGGCTGTTTCAGGGACTGCACATACATGATCAATAAGACCACAGATAATGAATGCGTCTACTGCGGAGAAAGAAATAATGTTGAAAACACCTTTTCCTACGAGCGTGCGGAAAAGTTACTTTGAAAGTTGTACTTTTCCGCACGATTTTACCTTTCCGCACGATTTTACTTTTCCGCACTAGTTTTTTACTTTTCCGCACGATTTTTACTTATACTGAAAAGTGTACCCATATTAAAGTTCGGGGGTCCCCTATTTGGGGGGCGGAGCCCCGCGGTGGCCCCCTATTTGGGGGCACAGTCCCGCGGGTCCCCTTATTTGGGGGCACAGCCCCGCAGGGCCCCCTATTTTGGGTGGCATAGCCCCGCAAAGGTAGGGAATCCTAACAATTTTTTTGGCCAATTTAGTTATAGGCCAAGGATCATGATAAAAAAATCCGATTTCATTATTTTTTTGTGTCTAAAAAAATCGTGCGGAAAAGTAAAATCGTGCGGAAAAGTGAAATCGTGCTGAAAAGTTACTTTTCCGCACGATTTTTTTATTGCTAAAAATGAAGATATTTAGGATCAAATAAATTATTTATGTTATATATTATTTTATATTATGTGCTATTTTGTACCATCATTATAAAATCTTTACGTAATGGATTTTTTTTTTTGATAAATAAGATGGACAAAAGCACTCGTAGGAAAAATATTGTACCTAACTCTTGCGGAAAATGTCTTTTCCACCCTCGACGGCTAGCCCGAACTCCGCTCCGCGTCGTTAGTGCAACTGCCGTCTCGTGCGGAAAAGTACCACTTTCCGCACTTGTTAGGTAAATAACTATTTTCTCATGCGGGCACTGGAAAGACCAACGGGAGACATGCATCGAAAGAACAGGACCAATCACACCCACTGATCTAAAAAATAAATGGATAAACAATCGTATGGCTCGATTGGCTAAATTTGTGCGAAAATTTGGGGATCAATATTCTATGAACAGTTGTGCAACGGAACAGCCTAACGCCTGCGCAGTGTCTTATCTTTCGAACAACTGTTCTAAATTTTGAAATTCCTTCATTTTCATTGGCCAGACTTTGTGCACGCACAGTACATGTATCTACTGCGCGTGCTCACAGCTGTCCCAGTCAGTTGTTTTTATTTACATTATGACCTCGTAAATTAGCAGCATTAGAACCGTTCTTTGTTTATCCATCTATTTTTGAGATCAGTGATCACACCCCAAAACATCACCCACAAAATGATCAGCAAAATCGAAAACTGGAACGCAGTCAAAGAAATGGCCAACGCAATCTTGAAAGTGAAGATAATGGAAAAAAACATATACAAATTATACAATCAAGAAATGCCAACGACACCAACAATGGCGATACATGACCAATACGTAATTTACGCAGCTTCCCCTGAGGTAATGCTAAAAGACGATTCAGGGGTGAGGGAGAAACCTGCGATGGAAGAGGGGAGTTTTTTAGTTGGTAGGCAAAGAGAACTTCTTCCCTTTGAATTATCCAGGATGGTTCGCGAATAGTTCGAAAAACGAGAACCAAAACGAGAACCAGAAAACACCTACCGCTAGCTAGTTTCACGCGTCCGGAAGCGATTTGTAGGAAATGTTTTGGTGTTATTTGAGAGTTGCCGCCAATTGTAGGTTGCATTAAAATAGTATAGTGAAAAACTTAAAAATTATAAAAATATATAGTATCATATAAGGACACCGACACTGGACAATATCAAAGTCAAAAGTAAGTTTAGCAAATAGGTAGTACCGAGGGTAGTACTGGAACTACAAAGTAGAAAAGTGATCGGTAAGAGGGCGGCAAAAATACCTTTTGCACGGGGCGCCGAAATATCTGGAGCCGGCCCTGGGTTGACAGGTCGCAAAACTCAATATTCTGGTATTTCAATTATTTTCCAATAGTTACTAAGGAATCAATGAATAACAATACGGGAAACACTTTTCCAGCCTAGGCCGGGAAAGTGATTCTCGTACTGCTTAATAATTGTTACAAAAAGACAAACATTTAACAGATATTTAACCGATCGCAGAAAAAATAGTATGTGTATTTCGGTGGAAAAGCACATTCTCGGCCTTCGGTGTTTGCCGGCTGCGGCTACGCCTCGCCCGTCAACTTACACCGTCGGCCGAGAATGTGTCACTTTTCCACCTAAATACACAATATACTATTCCTTTGTCAGTATTTTTGCATTTTCGAAATCGAAATTATGTAGGTTGTGGTTTGCGTGGTGTGTTAGTGTTTTGTTCTTCTTGTCTTGTCTTAGACTATATTTATGTCCGTATAATCTTTTTTCAAAATATTGTATTGTTTGTCCTACGTATGTTTTATCACAAACTGCACAATCAATTTTGTAAACTATATTTGGTGTGTCCATTTTGTTTGTTCCAGGTTTCCGTTTTGTAATAGTTATTTACCTAACAAATGCGGAAAGTGATACTTTACCGCACGCAACGGCAGTTGACCAAACGACGCGAAGCGGAGTTCGGTCAAGCCGTTAAGGGCGGTAAAGGCACTTTCCGCATGTGTTAGGTACAAAATTTTACCTATTTAGATGCTAATAGCCTAAAAATGGCATTAATAATAGCTATTTATATAACAAGTACATAAAGTAAGGCTTTATTGTACGAATAATTTTATGGCCGAGCGAGCTTGTGAGCGAGCCTGTTTATGTAAGCGTTATATACATGATTTTATGTACGATTGCAACTGGTTTTTGTTAAAAATTTAAAAATTTAATGAAAAAATTAAAATTCGCGTAGGTATACCTGTTCACCTTGGCAGGTTGTCAGGACCTGTTTCACCTTGGCAAGTTGTCAGTTAGTCCAGGTAGGCAATAAACTAGCAGTTTATTTTACTAGTAAAATAAAGTAGCACTTTATTATACGGTAAAGTAGACTTTGGTATTTATGATTAAAAATCCTTTCTTTTTCAGAAAATGGATTTTTGATCATTTCTAAATCTAATCTAATTTCATTAATTAATCTGATTCATTAAATAATTTTATTAATGCCTTTTTTTGGAGGTGTAGATGCTCATAGGTAAAATTTTGTACCTAACACATGCGGAAAGTGCTTTTACCGCCCTTAACGGCTTGACCGAACTCCGCTTCACGTCGTTCGGTCAACTGCCGTTGCGTGCGGTGAAGTATCACTTTCCGCATTTGTTAGGTAAATAACTATTTCACTCGATAGGTTATTTGTTGATTTTTTGGCAATTTGAATGTTGTGGGGTTTTAAATTTTTTGTTATTTTTTAATTTATTTCCGGAATGTAAGGAAAAGATATGTATTTATTATTATTTATAATTAATTGGTAGTTTTCCTGACCGTCAAGTTTAGAAAATAGTTTTCTTCTTTCCTGGGATTCGGTCGTGCATTAAAACAAATTATTTCTGTGGCGTTTCGGTATTTTTATTACCATCTTCAGACATACAATTCTAAAATAAATCTTATCTATCAATTATCTCTAAAACTTTTTTTTTTCGTAACAAAAATCAAAGCGAATAAAATGACAGAGACAATATTACAGGAACATTACACAATTTAATTTAACGGAAACTACCAAGATAATACGGAAGAAATTTATTTGTGTTTAAAATTTAATTTAAAATGCTAGCAAAATTAGTTTGGGATGTTACCTGCTTTTTAATTTTCCATTTAG